AAAAAAAAATTAAAAAAAAATAAATAAAATTCCCAGTGTTTATCCATGGAGCAATGTGATTGGGGAGGCAGATGAGGTTTCAGGGAAAGGTCTGAGAAAGATAAAAATAGTCTTGGCTTTCAGAGTGGAAATCTAAGCCCTATCAGGGTACTTCCAGACTATTTTTCCTTTGGCCGGTCATAGCAGGGAGCATTCACATAATGATGGCACGGTAAAGAACAATGCTATCACAAGAGTAGACCGCAGGAGTTCTCCACGGGGGCCTGGAAGCCAAGGCAGGCCTGGTCTTGGGTCTACCACAAAGCTGACATCTTGGCTCAGAGACCATCTTTACCCTCAAATTCTAGCAGCACGCCACCCAGATTCCCTCACCCTCTGAGGAGGGCTCTTCTAGGGGTGGCTGACTCACCATTATCTCTTCTGGGTTCCCATTGGCTATCTCCACCACCCTCAGGGCAGAGTCGACCTTGACCTTCGCGCGGGTCATAAACTGGATGACAGATGAACTGTCCTGTGGAGGAAACACAACTCAGTGATGGATTTTTTTTTTTTTTTAGTGACAATGTCTGGGCCTTCAGGTAGTGGGAAGAACTAAATTCCAAGATTCCACGTGGGCCAGACCAACATGTTATCACTGAACTAGATACCTCCCCATCCCTGGCCCCCACATAAAGCAGAGCTTTCCAGTCTCTCTCTCGAGAATTCTCTCATGCCATGGTGGATGAAGTTCTGCCAATCATCAATACATGCAAGTCTGTGCTGTGGTTTCCAAGTGGTAAGAGCCACATATTTGGATATTGATACCGACATATTCGCAAAGAGTAGAAAATAAATAAAGCTGTTTAATTGTGTACAACAAATCCAAGCCTGGCATTCCGTAGAAGGCATCTGATTTCTATTTCTCAAGCATCTTCCTGCTCTGACCACAACCCTCAAACCCTTCACATGAGTTACTTTTAACTCTTTCTCGACCCTTAAATGAGGCTGCCTGGGGGTCAACCCCGCTAACGTGGAGAGAGGGGACCGGATGGAGGGGTGAGAAAGGGAAACATCTGGCTTAGAGGTGATGGCCTGAAGAGCAAGGAGCCTGGGGTGGGCATGGGCTCATCTAAGACTCAGGAAGAGCCCACCGGCCAGAGGTATTTGCCAGCCTTGGTGGGGGCTCAGATCCAGATAATGAGAAAATGGCTCCCAGGCAGGGACGGAGGAGGAATCTGGAAAGAGACAGGGCAAAACTATGGCTCCGGGAAGGGTCAGAAGCTTGAGCCCGTGGTCCAGACGGTGCTGCACTGACCCCAGATGGAGGAGCAACCTGGCTTCTGGCGGGGACCCTGGAGCACTGGGCAGCCCGCCTGTGGGGGCGGCTGGGGCTCTGCCGACAAGGTGTTGCCTGGCACACCCAGCCACATGTCCTCAGCCAGCCTGCCACGCAGGAGGTGCACATCACAAGCCAGCTGTGCCCCAGTGACTAATGGAAGTGGTATTTGGGGGCGTACCCTCTCCTAGAAAACAGTTCTGAGGGAGCCCTCTGCCCCTCTCTGCCGGAGAAACCACAAAGGCCCTCCTGGGAGGACACACGGGGATGCTACTTTGTGTACTTTACCTGGGAGCTATGCACTGATTATTGCTCTCTTTTAAAACAGCAATAAACCCAATTTTGAATGCTTCAGGGAAGCTTGTCGCTCAAATGGACTGCGCCAGTGAGCTCTCATTAAGCACTAAATGTGTAGGCAAATAAGCTTTTACCAATTTAATGGTTTTGCAGATTTGTGGTTTTATGTGTCAGGATATACTGTGTTGGCAATCTTGGATCGTTGTCATCTTGGATGTCCCTACAACAATAGCAATGACGACGACGGTAACCGGCAGAGCTAAAGGCCAAGCAGATGAGGGGCCTGCCGTGCGACAGGCCCCCGGCAGCTGCCGAAGAACACTTTCAGAGAAATCAGAATCCTCTGCTAATTTACAAAGTCAGACCCTACATTTCAAATGAAAACTTGTTAAGATCAAAACAATAAGACCTCAAATTCCCTGGTCTGGGGCCGGACCTTGAGGTCAAAGGAAATAAACACAACTGCAGGCCCAGGCAAACCACAAGGCTGGAGCAGCTCCATATCCTTAGGGAGACCAGAGGGCTCCGGGAGCCAGCTAGTGCTCACTCCCCAAGGGAGGTCGTGGCTGGCTCCGGGGGACTGACATTCCGCATTTCAAGCCCTGGGAGCAGCTGGGGCCCCATCTGGTTCCAGGTCGGCCTCATTTTAGGCTTTCCTCTGCACCCGGGATTTCTGGTTTCTGCAGAAAGGGCACTTTCAGGGAGAATGAGCCTCTAACACCTACAGAGGACACCCCACAGCTGTCTCTTGGGGTGCAGACTGGGCTGGATGGCCCTTGGGAACAGCAGGCAGTGGGACACGGCCCTTGGCAAAGGGTCACCACGGAGCACTGGGAGAGAGGGAAGCCAAGGAGCAGGCCGCAGCGCTGTGTGCAAGAAAGGCCTTAGGCCTTGCGGTTAAATTAAGGACAGATGACTGAAGTGCAAGCAGCCTACACCTGGGTTAAGGGTGAAAGAGGAATCAGTGGCTTCCTGCCCTCGGCGCCATAATCAGGGCTCTAGTGACAGTGATGAGTGTGGCGTGGGGAATAAAACTGTCACCAGGGCCATCTGTCAAGAAGATGAATAGGACAGGTAGGATTACAGGATCCTGGGGACCCATGCCGGGAAGGCACTTCCTGTGATGCGGGCCTTCCAGACCCCCTTCCTGGAATCCCAGGACGGCCACTGGGGCTCTGGCTCCTCTCTGCCTGCTCCTTTCCCAATGCTGTCCTTTTTTAAGGGAGAAGCACAACAGGGAGTCACTGCTGTGAGAGCACAACGCACCCCAAACTGATCTCCCTGCAAAGGAAGCCAGACAGAACGGAACTGCGCACAGCTCTGCCTCGGTGTGGGGGGGCTGCGCCAGCTACAGATGGAAAGTGGGCAGAACATCTTGCATCCCCCATGCCTGGGACTTCTCAGGTCAGCATGCTACTGCCACACCTAATTTAAAAACTAACATTGGAATGACTTTTCTAAAGATATTCATTCAGGTTTATACTGAACACATTTAGTTCTTCCAGAGGAAAATAAATAGAATCTCTGCGGCTAACAGGCATATTTTATTTTATCTTCACAAGTGATTATTTTTAAAGCATCTTGTTGGACGTGGCCTTTCATACTCAGCAGCTCTTATGTTAAAATAAATCAGTGAATTTGTCTGACATTTTTTTAAGAACCACTAATTCACTGACTGAGATATTTTTAAATGAGCCACTGTTGACATGATAAACTCATGATAGCAAAGTCACCTGGAATTCAAAAGTTGGACTTCTCTGAAATAAGGTGTCGTCCAAACAAAGGACTGGCAAACTACCACCCAGGGGTCAAATCTGGCCCTTTGCCTGTTTTTGTAAATAAAGTTTTATTGGAACACAGCCCACGTGAAACACGCCCACTCATTTGCGGATCGTCTATGGCTGCTTTCACAATGCAACGGCAAAGCTGAGCTGTGGCAAGAGACTGTAAAGGCCTGTAGGGACTCAAATATTTACTACTGGCCTTTTACAGAAAAGGTCTATCAACCACTGATCTAGAACGGGGTCCTGAGAGCAGCAGTACGGGCATCAGGGCATCAGGGCATCACGTGGGGGCTTGTCAGAAACACAGAATCTCAAACTCCACCCCCAGGAATTTGCATTTTAACAAGGTCTCCAGGTGATTCTGATGCAAGCTAAAGTCCGAAAAACTTAAATGTGCAAACAAAACACCTGGGGAGCTTATTAAAATGAAGATGCTGATTCAGTAAGTCTGGGTCATAGAGCCCAAGAGGCTGCATTTCTTTTTTTTTTTTTAATTCTGCATTTCTAATAAGTTCCCAGGTGATACGGATACTGCTGGTCCTCAGAGCACACTTGGAATAGCAAGGGTCTGGTATCCCCCACCCCCAGCATCCTCTAGCGGCAAATTACCAATGGCAATTACCAGAAAAGTTTTAAAAGGGGCAGGCAGAGTTCTGAGAAAACCCACTCCAATGCTTTTAAATGAATCCAAAGAGTGCAGTTCCCCAGGTATTACCTTCTTCAATATTTCTGTGTTCAGCAGCATGTAAATGTCTATAGTACGACTTTCTTCTTTAGCAAGCGCACTAAGGTTACAGTGCATTGTTAGGCAAGAAATTCCTAGTTTTTCACAGTCCTGAAAAGAAAAATAAGAGAACTGTCAAATGGTATTAAAAACAAAGACAAACGCACAGCAGTTTATGGAGCTGAGGGCTCCATGAGGTTCTATTCTGGTCACTAAGACAATCCCAGGCCGAGGAATTCCATGAGAAGGTGCAATCATTCCTTCTTGCCACCAGAGGGCAATAGAGGGATTTCCTGCCCAGCAGGCACCAGAACATACTTTTGTCAAGCAAATGGAAAAAGCCATCCACTGGTTTACCCTACCAAAAAATTGGATTTCACAAGGAGAAATAATTGTTTTTCAAAAACAAACACATTTACATATTCCAAAAGCATTTTTCTTACGAGTTCTGGACAAAGATGTGTTTCCTACATTATGTAATTTTTGTCTGTATGGTGGCAAACATACTTTCGTGCTCTTTTCAGGTAGAACAAATAAGAGGGCTGAGAAGTCATAGGATTGATGAAAACATATGAGTAAAGAAAAGCACAGGTTTGACCAAGAAAATATGTGAGTCACCAACAGAAACCTAAATTCCAAATTAAAGTTATAAAAGAGGAATTCTTCCAAAAGATGTTTGGGAGGGTTTCAAGGGTGGGGTAAGACTGTCAGTCATATACAGAGTTGTGTCTGTCAAACCACTAGATATCAATGCACCTAACAATTCTAAGGGCTTTTAAAAATAGTTGTATCTTCAGCACTAGGTAAGTAAAAACAAAAAAAACAAAAAACAAAACCAAAAAAACCCCATCAAAACCAAAAAAACACCCCCATATTCCCAAGTGGCAAACAGCCCTACTTTCTCTTTCAGGAAAAAAAGAGAAAAAAAATGTGAGGGAGATGTGCCCAGCCTGAAATAAGGAGCTAGAGAGATGTAACCAAATATATGGGGGAAAGGAGGCTTCGGCAAAGCACACAATTCCATCTTCAATACCCTCACTTTTAAAACAGTGGAGGTATAACTTACACATAGTAGACAGAATTAAATCTTAAGGGTCCATCTTGATATATTTTACACATGTTTATACCCAGATCAAGATATAGAACATTTCCGGTACTTAAGCAGGTTCCCTCATGCCCCCACCCCTTTTGATATTCCTTCAAGAGTAACTACCATCCTGCCCTCCAATACCACTGCTAGTCTTGTTATTTCTGAACTTCATGTAAGTGAAATATTATGTGTGCTTTGGCTCCAGCTTCTTTCAGGCCTTATTATGTCTGTGAGGTTCACTCATGTTGCTATGTGTGGTAGAATTGTTCGTTACTCTGTAATATTCCCGTGTGTGGCTATACCACAATTGTCTACCCATTCTCCTGTTGTTGGGGATCTGGACTGTTCCCAGCTTTTAGTTATAAGATTACCATAAACATTCTTATCCACGTCTTTTGGAGGACATAAATACTCATTTCTCTTGGGGATATACCTGGGAATGGAAGTGCTGGGTCACAGGGTACAGAGATGTTTAGTTTCAGTGGATCCTGCCCAAGAGTTTTCCACAGTGCTTACAGAAGAACCATCACTCTTGATTAGACTCATACTAGTTGGAGAAATGTTTTACTTTGTGCTTGGTGGGTTGCGAAGGTTTTCCCTTTGCCAGGCAATGGAATTTGGAATGTAAATTTAACACTTTGATTGAAACCTCAGGCTGAAAAATAGGAGTTGACCACAGTCCTTGTGACTTTATACGCCAATTGATTAAAACCAGATTTGGGAAATAATAAATGCCAAATAGAAAACTGGCCTCTCATCTCAGACTTGCGTTCCTAGTGAGGACCACCCATGTTAACCCAACTAGTAAGCAAATCCTTACCAAGACTTTTCTTCCCGACTTTGTGAAAAAGGCAAATATTGTATGGAAGATATTTTCTTGCTCTTGAGGGATGATGCAGGGGGTTGGGTTTTTCTGGAAAGAACAGTTTCCCTTCTCTTGGCTCACCTGAAAGTGAAAAGAAATCTGTCAGAGTGGTCTGTCCCAAGAGTGAATCCTGAGCCTGGAATCCCTTGTTGCAGGGGTGTAACAAAGTCCGCACTTTCCCCTTGTCCATTCTCCAGTGGACAATATGGCTGCAAAGCTGAAGGGCAGAGTAGTAGCCTCAACCACGCCAAACAATCCTAAGTCCTTAAATAATTGAGATGAGATGGTACACAACATGCAATTGAGATGTGACTAGGAGACAGTAAGACTTAAGGAACAAAACAAACCCTACACTTCACGGTTTCCAAAGCACATTTATAAACCTCCTCGTAGCTACTCTGAGGTGAGCTTTCATGCTCTTTGTCTGGATGAGGAAAAGGGAGACTCAGGTTAAGTCACTGGCCAACAATCACAGAATCCAGAACCCAGGTCTTCTGAGACCAAGCCCTCACGTGCGGTCCATTGCCAGAGGTTTTCAAACTGTGTTCCACAGAACTCCCAGGGTGCTGTAAAACCCCACAGTCATCTCCCCAGAGAGGAGAAGAGGCATCTAGCAGGACCCCTCTGGGTCCCATTCTCTGCTCCAACTAGAGCCGCAGCTACATATAACGTCACTTAAAATGAGCATTCTGCTAAAGACAACAACAACAAAAAGACCAGTTGGGCAGCCACGCCACTGAGCCATATAGGGGCTTATATGCCCGTGAGCTCTTGGTGAGTTATCTGATTTTGCTTCTGATGGCAGTAGCAACCATGCTGAGCAACAGCAACAGTAAAAACAAAACACACTGAAACAACAGTTTATGGTCTCCCATGTTGGTTTCTTTGAGGGCAACACTATTTTTGAGGAAATGCTGAAAAAAACCAAGACTTCTTATATACATCATCATACCACACTGGTTGTAGCTGAGGACTAGACAGAACTGAAGGTCAAGTGGTAAAAGTCGTAATTAGTAATTCATAATTTAGCATGGTGTTTATAATCCCATTTCTAACCAGAATCATCTGTTTAAATCAAACACTCTTATTTTTAATGCCCTTGAGGGAAATATAGTGTGTCTGAATTTATTCAAGAATGTTTCAGCTTCTCATTCATGGTAGGGAGCAAAACTTAAAACTTTTACATAAAGAAACTTCTAACTTAAGCCAACAGTGCTAATCTTTTCATAATGAACTATAAAATAAGACCCCCAAATTTGCTGCATTAATCTCGATTTTTTCTTTGCTCTAATAAACACATACACCAGGATTTACTATATATGCCTAAAAACAAATAAGATGAAGGTCTCTTTCCTCAAATTAATTATTAAAAAAGGGAGAGTTGCCTTTACCAATCTCTCATAGTTTAGGATTTATTATTCTTTAAGAATGTCTTATAATTTGGGACTGTCTCAATTACTTTATTTTTTTTTTTAAAGATTTTATTTATTTGAGAGAGAGAGGGTTGAGAGAGAGATATAGAGCACAAGCAGGGTGAGCAGGAGAGGGGGAAGCAGACTCCCTGCTGAGGAGGGAGTCTGATGCAGGGCTCTACCCCAGGACCCTGGGATCACGACCTGAGCCGAAGGCAGACGCTTAACTGACTGAGCCACCCAGGCGCCCCTCAATTACTTTATTTGAACCACAAGATCTGGGAAGACACATCAGCCTGAAACGGTCTCAATCAATATTGGTTTTGGCCGCTTTTAGAGGTTACGAGAGGGAATTAATGGGAAGGAGGAAATGAGATTTAACACAGATTTGGGGATTATTCCTCGGGTGCAAGTGTGTCAAACTGTGCTAAATATTTTAAAGCTCATTTTAGAAAGCAAAACACAGGTCGCTTATGTAGTGAGGATTACGCATAATCACAAGACAAATGAGAAAGACTGTTGCAATGTTATGCAAACGAGCACTTGTGTTTTGCCATAAAATTTCAGCAAGAAGCTTGGATTCAAAATATACTGCATTTCAAATTAATTAGACAAATTTGAGATGATATGCTCTGGAAAACGACTAAAAAGTAGCTTCGATGTGATAGACGCTGATCTCAAAGGAGATACATTTGCATAAAATCATTTCAGGAGACGTGTGAATGGAAAGAGTAATATAAATTAATATATTATACAATTTTAAGTATGCAACTGCATGGTTAGGTTAAATATTATAAGTAGATATTATTTCATTCCGTTTCTAACTTCTTTTATTGAGGTAAAATTTACATTCACAAATATGCACAGATCTTAAGGGTATAGTCTGATGAAATCTGACAAATGAAATCACCCACATCACCACCACCCCAATGAAGGTACAGAATCTGTCACTCACTCCAGAAAGTTCCCTCTGGCCTCTTTCCAGTCCATTCCCATCCCCTACCTTCAAGGCATCCACACTTCTCACTCTTACTAAGTCGGCCAAAAAAGCATTAAATGTACCTCATCAGGGAAGTGGGGATTATGTTATTTGGGGGTTACCCTCCATTTAGGCACATAGGGCACATCGCGGATAGAAAACATTTCGTTCATCAAGCATTTGAGAACTTGAATGTGTTGTCCTCATGTTCTTAATTCCAATCATTTTTCGCTCTGAAGCATCCTCCACTTTCCCTCTTTGTCTTCTGAGGTGGACATTTGCTGAAAGGCTACTGGAAAAATGGTCCTTCTGCAGGCCTGGGGTGTGCACATTCCTCTGTTGAGATGACTGGGCCTGACCACACAAACACATTGGTCTGGGTTTAGAGAAACAGAATCTCTGAGTCTTGCAGGATGCATTCGTCCTTAATTAAAATCAGGGATGGGGGCAGAGTTCCTCCTGGCTCTGCAAATTGGTGCTTCGGGTCTCCAGGCTGGGAGAGGAAGTGTGGGAATGGAGCCCCAACTCAGCCAGTTTTGCTAACTTGGAGTGCGAGGAGCCTGGCACCATGAAGACCCCCACACAGACTGGCAGGAAGCTGGGAATGGCAGGGCAAGGGGGTGAGCAGCGGCTGAAGCCTCAGTGCGTGCCAGGCAGGGGCAGACACATGGCTCAGAGCTTCCCTCTCCTCTTTCCCCTGGAGTCTCGGGGGCCAGTGAACAGGGTGCCGACCGTGATGTGATGTGATCCCATGTGACATTTGATCTGCCCCAGTGGAATCTGGAGAAGGGAAGTGGAGACTGAGTCTGTGGTGAATGAAAATCTCAGCCAGTTGTGCTCCCGACTGTGGTTACACGGGCATCACATCAATCAGGGGGGAAACATTTTTCTGTGAGGTTCAGGGTGGTCCTCTTTCAAGGGGAGATTGAAGGTTGCCTGGTGTTGCATGAGTCTGATTCCGACCCACTAATCCTGCTGCAGACGCTCCCTCAGCTAGAATTGAGCAGCTCAGACCCTGGTCAGGTCGTGGAAGGGAAGGAGTTTTCTATGTTGGATAGATATGTATGCGACAGTCGCAGTAACACCCAACATGTGCACGGCCCTTACTGTATGCAGGTTCTGAGTGCTTTACACATACTAGCTCATGCAGCCCTTGCCCCCTGGAGGTGAGTGCTGTTACTATCCCCATTTTACAGATGGAGAAACGGAGGGGCAAGGGGAGACCAGATGACTACCTGAGGTCCCCCAGTTAGCAGGCCATCCAGCTCCAGAGTTGGTGCTTATAACCATTTTCCTGTCTTTCAGGTATAGAGGCTGAGGATGGGGCTGGGGCAGGAGTCACGGACTGGCAGAGGTGGAGGGAAACCAGACCTTCTTGTTCCCACCTAGGCCAAAAGGAAGGGAGCACTAGCCTAGAAGCCTAGGAAGCCCAGAATCCTCCATCCTGGCCCATTTCTGCCACTGTGGCCAGAAAAACAACTCCTGGCCAGAGCATGGGAGATAAAAGTATCCGCTGGCTGGGGGGCCAGGCTCCTCCAGGCTGTCTTGGGTTGGAAGGGGGACAGAGCATCCTGGAATGTGGTTTCTGGGAGGCAGCCTGCAGATCACGCAGTTCCTTGGCCTCAGCTGACAGATAAAGAACCAGAGCCCCCGAGTTCCAGGACCCGTCCAAGGTCACGTGACTGCCTGTTGGCAGCAAGAAGCATGCGGTGAAGGAATCCCGTGGCACAGGTGGTCTTGATGAGCCCTCGACAGTCCAGGAGCCAGCCCCAGCTCTGCCTCCTGAGAGCTGTGCCAGCTTGGGTCTCCAGGGCCTCAGCTGCCTCGTGTAAAATGAGGATGGTGGCCTAGATGGCCACTAAGGTGGTCCTCACCTGCTAATTCCTACTTCGAGGACTATCTGTGCATTTTGTAAGAGCACGGGGCCACCCAATCTCACATTACGTAGCTAAGCAATTGTCGATCAGCCCCTGCTTGGTTCTAATCACCTTCTTTGCCTAAAATCAAGGGGGAAGTACTATTTTCTTCTCCCATTGCAGACAATCCAAACACCACAGTGCTCATGTCCAACAGCTTCATTTCTGTGGCTGGCCAAGGGCTCTGTGGCCATTAACCCCTGCTCATCTCTACCCACTCACTTCTCATCAATTTTCCAGACCATCTGAGTCCAAATGCTTCCCATGACATGGCTGCTTATCTTCCAGGACCTCCGGGAGCTGGAAGAGGTCCATGTCTATTGGAATGTGAATAAAAGGACTTCACCAGATACACACACAAAGGACAAGAGGATGCAGGACACAGTGTCAAGGCTGGATTCTGCGAAGGCAGCTATTGAGGGTTTTCTGCTGGCTTTTGGTCTCCCCCACTCCCCTTGTCCTGACCCCAAAGAAAACATTGTGCAAGTCGGAAAGGGAGAGATGGTAGTGATTTGGGAAACTGTCAGGAGCCCAAGAAGATGTGGACACCACTTGGTGGCAGGGTCCAGGTCAGCCTCGGTCAGGAGGGTTCACGGTCAGAAGCCACCAAGGTGCCAGGCCTATCCGAGGACAAAGTGCTCGGTACACTCTAGGTGGCCTGGCAAAATTTCACTTCATAAAATACTGCGTTCAAAGTATGAATCAGGGCGATTCCACGGGTATGAAGCCACGAAAGAGAATCCACCTTTTGCATGTTATAAGTCAAAGGAACAT